CACTTTCCTCGGCCTCAGTTAACTATATCCGATCAGTCTGGTTGGGAGAAAGCGAGATCTCATTAGGGCGGGATGTTGTCGGAGGGATTTAATTTTGCCACGTATACCGGCAGGGTTCTTTTACGTTCCACAAGTGTGACATGGCTGCTGCGTATTTTCCGCCCTACGAAAATCTGAGCATCTTGGCCGGCATCCAGCCCGCACACTGGGGGTTCAGAGGCCAGTAAGCTAACCCTTCGCCCTATTGCGTGCAATATGTGCAATATTAAAAAAAATTACAAAAAAGATTTTCTCGAAAACGGCTCAATTTTTTTCTTTAAACTTTTGGTAGGGATAATTCTAAACGTAGTCTACGAGATATCTACTATTAGGAAACCGAAAAATCAAGAAAATGTTTTTAAAAAAATGTATTTGGGCGGCGATAGATGGTAGCTGACAAAAAAATGTAGCAAGTCCAAAGAGCTAGCCGAAACCAAAGGAAAATGAAAACTAATACGGGAAAGTCGGTGTCATTCTGTAGCACCACTAGTTAAAACTATGTCACATAGATAACCTGAGGCATATGGTTTCAACCTTCAGAAGACTTTTAACTTTGGAAAAATATTGGAAATACATTTTGTATAACTTGTTTCAGTCCATTCTCAAATGCTGAAGACCTTCAAATCTTGCACTTGCAAACCCTTGTTTAATAAACTAAGGATTCTTCCTCTACCATGCATGTACATATTTGAAATAGTGGTCTTCACAAAGAAAATTCTCATGGAAAACAAAGACACTTTTACTTTAAATTCTGATGTACATAACTACAACACCCGTCAAAAGGATAACCTACACATTCCCCACTCTGAAACTACACTTTATCAAAAAAGTACCCTAATAAAGGGCATTACACTTTACAACAAACTAGGCAATGATATCAAAGACATAAACACAATTCATACATTTAAAAGTAAATTGAAAGCTTTCCTGCTTAACAACATGTTCTACACTGTAAAGGAATTTTCAAATTACAATATTTCCCTTAAAAAATATAAATAAATAAGAATTTCTTATTCCTTTCGACTTTCTGTTTCATGTGAACTGTTTCAAGCTGAAGCAAAGAAAAAAGAACTGCATATCACATCCTGTGAAATAGAAGAAGAAAAAAACTGGTCAAAACTTGCCTCCTCACCATTTCAAGTTATAAATATAGAATGTACTACTATTGTTAAATTTGATGCAGTTGCAAACATAATTGATATGTATTATTAATGTAATTATTATAATTAATGTAATTATTATTATAAGTAGTAGCATTAAAATATCATATTGAAATGTTAATTATTAGCAGATAATTTATCTACTGTATAATATCTTAATCTAACTGTAACAAGTATTGTATTTCTAGGCCAATGACCCCATCTTGATCAGGTTTTGTTCAGTTTCCCTGATCCTTTGAGCAAATGCTGAGATGGCCCCTTGTTTGCTCCTGAACAGTAATATAACTTTGCTCTCCCCACCCAAGGCATCATATTGACTCGTCATACACGATTGTAATTGTATATATGTGACTCAATAAATATTATTATTATAATTAGTTTGTCAAAGGCCGAGTTGGCTTTGTCTGGTAAAATTTTGGTTGTTCTTCCTTTAAATATTATACTAGTGCCATCAGTGAAAGGTATTGTTTTTCTTTATTAACAGCATTTAAAAATATAAGAAATATAATTAGGCCTAGTGTCGATCCTTGCAGGACCTCATAGGTCACATCTTTTCGTTCAGTGATGATTCTTTATTTTGTTGACTTTTTGATAACATAACACTATTTGTTTTCTGTTTGAAAGACATGGTTTTATTCACTTGTAAGCAATTCCTTTAATAACTTATTGATTCTAATTTTGACAATAGAGTTCTGTGATCTATTATGTCAAAAATTTTTAATGTTTCAAGGAAGAGATCCACATGAATTTCTATTTGCTCTAATGCTAAGAGAATTTTGTTTACAAAGATGAATAAAGCCATGACAGTTGAATGATTTTCCCTGAATCCATGTTGGGATGTTACAGTGTAATCATTTTTTTTCACCTTCAATAAGAGTTTTTGCATTATATTTGAAAATCCAGATACGAGCTTTATTGTCCTACAATTCATTACATTGTTTCTTACCTTTTTCTATGGACGTGTTTACTTACTGCAGTTTTACGTAAGTTTGGGAAGAAGTCATGAGTTAGTGATTGGTTGTTTATATATGTAAGTGGTTTAATGATGTAAGGAGCAATTCTTTTAATACTCAAATTTAGAATGATGTCATTTTGTTTATAATTTCAAGTATTTCCTTTTCTGTCATTTCTGTGGTGTTCATATTAGAAAGCAAGTTTTTAAAGAGACGTGGGGGTTGTTGAGTTGTAGGCTTAGTGTTTTAAATACTTGTTTACACAAGACTGGTCAGCAACTTCAGAGAAATGTTTGTTGAATGTACTGCCTGTTTCAATAGGATTTGTTATTCTTTTGTGTTCATGAACTAGTTCTATATTATGTGCTGTTCTATCAGTTGCTGAACATTCTACATAGCTTTTGTTTTGTTTTTGGAGTTTTTTTATGGATTCATCGTCTGGCAATTATAACGTTCTTTAAGTATTACTGAGTATTGTTTATAGTAGACTATTTGATAATTGCAAGTGTGTTATTTTGTGAAAGCATGCATTTCTCTTTTTCTTTCACAAGAAATTTTAATACCTTTTGTTATCTAAGCTTCGCAGTTTTGGGATGCTTGAAAAATCTCATGACATGTACCTTTCCAATGTCGTCATCGCCCCATTCGATATCTACCCAAGTACCACACTATCCCCCACTCCTCACGCCCTCTCCTCCTTCTTCCTAACTCTCACTGCTCTTCAATTTCACACATTCCACGTCCACTCCTCTCTCCTCCCCCATATCTACAGTTGAATATTATATCAATCACTGGAAAACTCTTTTTTTTTAGCAACATTCAATTGACCTCCTTAGAAGCAACAAACAATCATTCATCTGAAGTAAGTCTCCTATTCACCCACCAAACAACACGCTCACAAACTGCGAATCTTACTAGAGTAAATCCTGAACATTTCTATAATAGAACTAAACAAAAACCAATGTTCCTTTTATGAAATCTTCCTATAAGTGCCTAAGCTACATTACCTATTGCGTTCACATAAAACACACCACCAGCCTACTCCTGTTTATCTCAACACCACTTCTCCACGTGATCTATCTTCACCCCACTTACATTCTATTCTCTTTCTCCCTACCGCTTGTTCGGAACATCATTCCATATGTCTCCACGACTCAACTCAGCCACCTCTAAGCTCATTTTCATTATTTATACTCCCCATCATTAACATTTCTTCCCTTTCTCATATTAATTTATTTTGCTGTCTATTTAAGTCTTAAAATCCACTGTTTTGTCATACATTAATTTAACCCTTACAAATTATTAAGTACCATTAACATTGTGTGGAAAGAAAGATTACTCCAAGACTCCTCCTTTAGACTACAAGTGGAAAACAAAAAAAATATTAACTGGAATACAAATAAATATGTTATAAAGCCTTTCAGTATATAACAAAACTGGTCTACAATCAATATGTCTCTAAGGCTTCTGACTGAACATGTCAGAATTCCTAGTATTAATAATAAATGAGTTCTGAGCTACAACAATAATTTTTGAAAGTACTTGAATCTCAATGTATAACCTAAACTGTATCAAAAACTGTTAAATTAATGAAAATTTAAAAATCATATCGTGCCATGACCACACTATTCTTTTTATTTCACCGAATGTAGAGAATAGTATATTTTGGGGGAAAGCAATTCATTATTTAATCACAAGCGTTTTCACTAGTGTGGATGTGGTGTAGACACAGAATCTTTAGACAACAAAGGTTGCTAACTTGGATGAATGAAAATGGAGAGAAAAAATTATTATTACAAGATTTGAAACATAGTTTTTGCATCTCATTTACTTTAAAATTAAGAAAATAGTAACTTACCACTGTTTTCAAAACGTTATTTCCTATCAACTATTCCACAATATTAAATTACTTAAATAACTTATTTTATCACTTAACATAACATAACAATAGTTTTTAGGCCTACTGGGATTTGGTATAACAAAACAAGAACAGTAAGAAGGGAATTGGTAAACAAAGATGTGTAAATAAATTAACAAAGAAATTCACAATTTTACATTTTTTTTGTCAATTTTGCATTTACATACTTGAATTTTTCAAGTTACATTCATTTTCAGCACAAAAAGGTTTCTGTTTGAAATGGTCATAGTTTAAAACATAATCAATAGTTTCCGAATTGAAAAACTCCAGACATGCACGTATTGTTAAGAGAAAAATAAAAATATAACAACCAACATGTAATTACTGCAATGATCCACAACCCCCAAAAAGTTATCAACTTATTTTTGAGTTTTTATTTTTAGATTTGCTACTAGTTAAAGAGCTTTGCTGTGCAAAATACAGAGTAAGATTACTATAATATACTGATTTTGTTTCAAACAGGGACATCAAAACCACATCAATGCAATAATGTACTTTTCAAACTATATCCAACAAAAGAATGCTTAATGAAAACTGAAGCAAAGCAGTCTTTCGAAAATATTAAGTGCACAATTATGCAAATCAATGTGCACAAACATGTATGGTGCCATTGTTGCCAGAAACATTTTCTAACATTTTTTTTTTTTAGAATTCAAAAGTAACACTGAGCCATTTTAATATCTTAAGGCAAAGGCAGCCATCTGGCTTACACAGGTATTTCACAATTTTATTTATTTATTAAATATTTATACTATTCTCTTGAATTCCAAGTTTATTCATTGGTGTAAAACACAGCCAAAAGCAATATAAGGAAGACGATATCTGGTCCACATAAATAGATAATATAACTTAATTTACAAACCTCTGGCATTAAATTTCTCTCAACAGGTATTTACAATACAAGCAAATTCTTTCCATTTTGTTTGTTTCTTATTCTTTCTGAGTCTCTGTTTGAGACCAGCAATAATCAAATGGATACTTCTTTTCAGATTTTTGGTAGGTTAACAATTCATTGTTTTTCTCAAAATCTTGAATTTGACACAAAGTAGCAATACCATCATTTGGCACTTCAAAACCAGTTATCTGATTGAATAAGACATTTGGAGACATAACAGACGGTACACCTTTTTTTTGGAAAAAGGAACATACATTTTGACAATCTCTCAGTAGAAATTCGAAAGCAAGAGGATGACTTTTCTCAACTGCCTGGCTTACATCTATGTACCAGCATTTACTGTTGTGCCAGAGAATGTTGTACTCTGATAAGTCACCATGAACCAAGCCTGCATCAGAATACAATCTTTTCATTGTATTAACTACATCTTCAAAAGCATCATTTAAGTCAGCAAATGATAATGCTGCCTCTTTGATCTTTGGAGCTGGTTTGTGATTCTCTCCAATGAATGACATTACCAAAATATGTTTCTTAAGACAAACAACTTCAGGGCAGGAAATATTAGCTCTTTGCATTCTATTTAAGTTATGCATTTCCTTCTCAGCCCACATATGAATAATTTTCCTTGGGTTTTGTTTGGAAAATCTGTCTTTAAAGCGAAAATCATCTTGAATGTATTTGTCTCTTGTCTTGAATTCATTCAGTGTGGTTTTAAATATTTTTATAGCACATTCTTTGGGAACAACAATTTCATTTCCTGAGCCACCATCTGCATGCATTACAATAGATTCCTTTCCAGTGCTCAAAATTCCATTGATTTGATCCAAAACTTCTTGATTCAACAACTTGAAGAGGATAAGACGTGTGCGTGGATCAACACCCATTTCTTTTGTAGCTCGCTCACTCTTATCATGAGCACGATTACGACGAGTTTGTTCACTCCGAGAGTGGGCTTTCAAGCTATTGAAAACTCTATTGGAAAGCTTCATATCAAATCCACCCCCATCACCTGTTTGAAATTCAGGTGGAAAATTCATCACTCTGCAAGCATTTCTGCGGTTGGACATTGGTATGTCATGTTTTGTGACAATGTGGTCCCCTTCCTTCTTGTAACCACATTTGGGTATAGACTTAAATTGCTTTTCAGTACTAACGAAACTGTCCAATTCTCTGTGTTTCTCATCATTTGCATCACCACAATCAGAATCTTCATCTAAAAGATGGGTATCTGGAGTGACTCTAAAATTGGAATAAGATATACATACTTTTGATTTTCCATTGAATTTATTTTCTGTTTTTTTAATCATATCATCATGCTCTTTATCAAACTGTGCTTGTAACATGAGCGCTATCATTTCATCGTTTTCACAGTCAGCAGTTGCAGAAATATCTGTTGATAAATCGAAAACATCAATAGGCATGTTAACTTCTTCGTAAACATCGATGAACTTTTCATCTTCTTTTATTTGAAGATCGTTAGCCAACTGCTCCGACATTATGTCTGATAAACACACTGGATCTGTAGGAGGTTGAATTTTCGCCCATGGTGATGACACTGCGGGTGGGTTTATGCCTGTTGCACCGCCTTCCATTTTGTTAACTGTATACAAATGCTTCAGGACTGAGATTTACAAACAATATAGTTACGTAATATGTTGCAACTTAACGACCTTGTCGATAGTTAAAGGGTTAAGTTGCCACAACGTCGATGACAACTGAAATTCCTGAACTTTCACTTCTAACTAGGACATATAATGTGCACTTATCTTTTACACCACACTTCTGATATATAATATATCAAATTATAAATCTTGAGATGCAAACGACGAAACACAAACAAACAACCAAAATATTCCCCCAAGAAGCCGCACCACCCTAACCCACTTCAACCAGGCCACACGCCTGGGCAGCTGCCTGCTGCCCGCTACTGCCTGCTCAACCAGACGCTGCTTATTATACGAGTCTATAAAGTAGATTGCACAACCTGCGCTCACTTGCGCGCACGCGCAACGTTGAGAAAGGCCCACAAAGGTCGAGACAGAAATGACTAATTGGATATTCGTCGATAAAGCGATTTTTAATTCAGAATGCTCGGAAAGTAAATCCTATTTATCGTTATTGTTCATAATAGTAAATGGTGAATAAGCGACTTGGAATCTTTAACGATCGTTGCAAAATTTAGCTTTTTTAAAACCCACCGCCACATTTTCCAAACAACTCAACATCACGTAACACTAGCAACCTCCCTGAAATAAATATTCCATTTCGAATCCCCTTGTTCTTTCTAAATTAATTAAAAGTATTATTTTCTTTAATAATTGAATGAATGTGTATATACATTCACTAAAATGCAATGTTTCAAATTTAAAACTAATTGATTAATCAGAATATTAATTTATAGTTTGATATTAATATCATAACAAATAGAAATTTGAAATGTTATAATATTAATTACTCATCAACCTCCTCCCTTTTCTTTTCGTCACAGGTGTAAATTGGGCGTCTGCTGACCAGAGGCGGATCCAGCAGATCATTTTTGGAAGAGGTCATCGTAGATTTTTGTGAAATGACAAACATTTGTAATTATATAGTTTATTACTTACGTACTGTAGATATGATACAATATTATTGTTTACACAATTACATAATTCGAATATAAATGTATATTTAAATCAATTTTGTCAAATAAAGGAAGTTAAACGAAATCTTTATTCCTTTTGGGGGGGGTGCATGCCCCCCCCCCCCAGGATCCAACAGTGCTAGTGACATTAGGAATGGTAACGTGGAACTGTTTTTATCACCTTACTTTGACACACTCTTAAATAATTTCCAGTTTTTATTGATTGTTTCAATAACTGTTTTATTGATTAATATTGTACAATAATTACATTATTGTACTTTTATTTTACATCATCGTCCTTATTTCGTAACAAAGGAAAGTATTCTAAACGTGCGCCGGACCTCGTAACGAGAAAGTTGATAAATCTTGTTCCAATATTTAGTAACTTACTTTCTTTAACACGTTGTGTAGTCAGTATCCATGTTTTCTAGGCCCTTCACACTGAACTAGTGGTGCTCAACAGCATATTTTTCTCGCATTTGTTCTAACGGATCCGCAATGTTATGTTACTAGCGTACATGTGCGAGGACTCTCGCATGTTAATCCCCACACTTTCCCTATTTACTTATCATTTCTATTAAGAAGGAAAGTTGTTAATGAAACGTGTTTATTTATCAAAATGTATAAATGTAAGTTCGTACAAACACATTATCAAATACAAATAAAAACAATGCAGTTGACGTTGGAAACATATTCAGTATTATAGAAATATATTCTTCTAACAATTCACACTTCTTTAAAAACATTTGAAGTTCCTTGACAGTTAGCTTTTTTCTTTCCTTGATAGTCACAAAAATATTAGAAAAGGTTTTTACTCTCGAGAAAGCCAAGTAAAGTTTTTCAGGCGAAAATTCAGGATCGGGCAATTACAACCCTTCCTAGGATTTGTTATGAGTAAAGCGGGTTTTGGAGGGGCAGGGCTTACTGGGGTACGAAAATTGAAAAATTATTTGTATACTAAAAATATTTGATTTTTTGCGTTCTTACGTACGTCAAGAAAAGTAATTCTGGCCCAAAAGTAATAAAACTAGTATTTTTCACCTTTGAGTAATAAATACAATTTGTTACCATTAGAAATAATTCTGTACGCCAAGAGTTCACTTTGGAATGTGGGAATATTGCTCAAAAGTCGTTTATCCAGGGGAGGATAGCTCATCCAACAGGACCTTTAGAAGCTTCAGACTCCCTTGTTTGAGTGAGAAATGCCGCTGTCCGTGTAGGGAAATGGACACCTCTCCTGAGCGAAGAGGGCAACTTTCAAAAAACTTAGTTATTCGCTTACCTGGAGCAAAATACCCAGCTAAAAATGTGAGTAACCCTTTCTCAGCGTGCAACCTACTCATATGTAATATAAATCCGGAAGAAATTGGTGAGGGTGGTATGTAATTTTGCACAAGGGGTATTACTAGGATTAAGAAGCCTAGAGAAAGAAGGGAGGGAAATCTCTGATCCCACTCGACCAACATCAAGGTAAGTCATGCTACTATTCCACTCTCCGCGAAGAAATGCCTAGGCAGTTCCACGAAAAAATGGAGAGGTGAGGTTTGGTTTTAGTAAGTAAAAATCTCACACGTTGGGTAATACGGACTACCCAGTCTTTTGAAGGTGGCCACCTACTCTCGTAAAACACACATACACTCACACGAAGTTGCGGTTAGCCTATTAACATCCGAGCCTTCACAAGACTGCATACGCGGTCAACTCCGGTTATAGTGAACTTCTAGGGACTAACATTTTTGGTTCACATATCCGATGTCAAAATTAAATAGAATTTCTCCATAACGATTGATTTTATTAATAAAGAGATACAGCAAAATACATTAATATGAACTGAACATTTCAATACCTTTATTTGTTCATTAAAAATCAATTATTTTCAATCGTTTGCTTGGTACCTTTTCATTAGTAATTCCTCTAGATTCTTCTCTAGAGTTAGTGCTCTCTCCTTACTTGATTCTGCACTGTTGGAATACCGTTCCACTCTCCGAAGACCCTTTGACTCGCCTAATAACATAGGAGATGCTTTCGGTAGCGGGATGGCGCAAGCGGCTAATGAAACAGATCGCTTTTCTGCGCGGTGCGGCCGATATCTCCAAGGTATGGCAGGCGCGTGCTTCTTGTCGCCTATGTACAACTCTACGCGCTCCATCCCGCGAAATATCAAGATTGAAACTGAAGCAAGCAATTGCGCGTCGCTGCCGACAGTTGTAGGCCACACAGGACACAGCCTTGGATCTAGCAGCAAACTGAGTGGCATCAGTAAAGTGCCCATTCCGGGTCCACTACCTTCATTTCAGGGGAGACTACTTCGCTTATGTCCTTTAGCAGACGATCTTTTTTTCAAGCTGGGATTTGTGCCATGGAGGCGATATATTCTTTTCCAGGAGGGAATTAATTTCCATGACTTATTTCCTACGTTCAGGTTCACTATAACCGAATCTTATGCGTATTTGTAATGTAAGTGAAACGGGATCAGTGACTTAAGTTCACTATATTCGAGTTCATCTTAACCGGAGTCGGTTGTGCTTGAAACAGTCAAAAACTCCCTCAAGATTTAATGGGACGTTTGTTCTGAACCTGCAACGAAGCGAAAGACACAGTTTTTCTAGAATTTTGCAGGTTGAACAGTACTTGAATAACTTGATTTTTGTAGTATATTTTCCGTTTAAACAGCAAATTGACACAACCTTTTGAATAGTCCAGTGGCGGCTTGTGATCATGCCATTGGGTTGAGCAACTTTTCTCTTCTCCCTCTCTCTCACACACCCATAGTCACACATTACAAGCACATATGTACATTCATTAACATAATCAACGACAATTATACACAAAGCATCCTATGACGTCTGATAGTATGTTGCACAGATGCTTCTGCCCGCATTTCTCTTCACACCAGCTTCGACTTCCCTCGGTAAGGACCCCTCCGATATATGCACTACTACGGGCGGGTCAGCTCGCGGACGCATCGCCCAACGAAATCTCCTTCCATCCATAAGCCACCGTTGTTCCCCCTCCAGCCTAGGACACCGTTTCCCCGTTCGCCTTTTGTCATGTGTGTTCCGGCAGGCCATCACGAAGAACATCGGCACGGACTGCCAAATTGCAGCTTCCGAACGACGCATGTTTTGAAATACCAAGTTTCAGAAACACTCTAAGAGGACTTGTATTCCCTTCTTGTAAGATACTGAAGAGAAATTGCACCGCATTAATTTGGGTAAGTACATGCGAATACTCACGAGTCGACACAGGAATGTCCCAGTGTCACCCAAAGCGTTTGCTGTATCCAATTGGCAGCTTTCTCGTAAAAATTGTTCACTTCTGCCTAAAATTGACTCAGTGTTAGCCAGGACTGTCCCTGTCCCGTATATATTTTTGCAGGAAAACGGGTCTTGTTGTATGACGAAACGGCATAAAATGGCGTCAACAATATTAAATTTACCACATTGTATTCCGTTTGCATTAGTCAAGAACATTAAGAGCGACACAGTATTGCGCTTGTTTACCACATAACAAGAGTGTTTAGTGAATCAGTTGTGGTTTCTAGGAAAGGATAATGCAGCTATAGCGTCATTCGAGATATGCTTTATCGCTGTCGAAAAATTCAATAATTCGATCCTTTTGCTTCTGTGTGACTTGTTAGTACGTAATCTTCATTGAGAAATAATGACCTTGTAATGAATAGAAAATCAAATGAAACAAATGCGATTTTTTTAAATGTTCCTTTCTAAAGGATTCTTTGGTTGGCGTGACTCGAATGCTACTTCAAGAAAGTTGTGTGTTTTGTTTATGCAATTTACAAACCTAAGTGTTTGTAATAAAGTATGCTTCTTTTATCATGTGTCAAAAACTAAAACGTTCCGTTTTCGTTTTCAAAATATGGTCACCTTATCCTGCCCTCTTGACATGGGTCCGCGGGGGAAGCTGGTACGTGAAGGCCTGCAGGTCATTCCCTTCCCAAGCCTTTTACGTTGAACTGCAAGCCCTTAAACACTCCGCTGCCAGCGTGGTTTTGTCACCGCCTATGTCCTATCGTTGTAGCGCACGGGTAACATCTCACTATAGTAGCACCCATAATGGAATTTCACCATACACTTGACAGCTGTTCAAGGTTTCATCCAATCGGGAGCTCCAACGTCCTAAAGTGACTTCAGTGGCAACATAAACGCTCCTAATTGGATGAAACTACAACAGCTGATTTACGTCAAGAGCACGACTAAATAAAACGTGATATATCAGAGAATTTGGGCACCCTCGAACGTTAAAGCAAACAGAAAGAACTATCGATCTTCTGGACATGTGCACTTCGCACCACTTCTGTGCATACGCGCATGCGTAGAAGACCCAGGCCGCAGTCGATTTCTGCCCGCTAAGGCACAAACACCCCGTTTTTTCTCGTATCTGCCTTGCACTTAATGGACGGAAAACCGGATTAGGTGATTCGCGAAAGTAATGATACGTATGTGCATATTACGTTAATTTAAAAAAATTGAATAGGGAACATTTTTGTCGTGGCGCAAACACTACAACTGGCGCTATCCCCCACACCAGGATTTGAGATTGCATAGTCGATTTATTTATTTATTTATACATGACACTCCCTTCCCTCTCCTACCTCTAGGAGGTACTAACAACATATTTTTTCCCACAGATTTTCAAGTACAAGATTCATTCAAATTGTCCCATATGTTCTTTGCCGGAACACACCACATCCATTTTTCAAATAGATCTATTTCATTTCAAATATTCCATGAAAAATATTCAGCAACAATAAAATAATTATATCTCAATCCTTCCATAATCTCTTGGCCTAAAATAAAACTCTGTGTAATTAAGGAACTAGATCCCCAAATCCAGAACAATAGTTCAACATCCGAGATGGGGGCCATGGGCTAGCTTGGACAAATTTGTAAAGGTACACACCCAACAAAGGGCCTTTGCGACGATCCGGGGTCGGGGTCCTTCACTGGGAAAGTACACAAAGGAGCGATAAGGATCGTATAAGGCCTTGGTAGGTCTTTTAGGCTGCAGGTAGCAGCTGGGAAGAAGATGGGGCAAAACCCAAAACTTAGCCAGACTAAAAAAATAGAAAAGTAGAACAAGAAAGTTTGTGCCATTCTTAGTACCACTAGTTCCTCATTATTTTCAAGTGAATGTAGAGAAATAGGAAGTAACTACTGTTAGAAATGTTTTGTTATGATTGAGCTCGAATTTTTCTGAACATTACTTTACATACAACTTTTTTCAAAAATAAAAGGTTTATGAATTTTATTAGATCCTTCCTCAACGTTGCTTTCTTCATAACATCATAAAATACTGTTTTCTTTTACACAATGATGTGGAAAAATGAAAATAAAAGCCATGCTATTGTAGAATACATACAGTATGAACAACATTTTATTTACAGGAGTGGTCAAAAAGAACTCCAGGAAATGATGTCTCCCAACACATTTTATTCCTAAGGAGACTGAATTTTGTAATCTTCAGTAAATACAGAAGAAAAATAAAAAAAGAGATTTACTTTGATGTTTGTAAAAAGTTGAAAACATTACAATTCAATTTAAAGTTATCTACACCTTTATACAAAAAAGTCCCTTTGAGAACAAAAGAGTCGTTAGAAAAAGAATACACAATTAAGTCAAACTGAAATGACACTGTATTATTACATATAATGAACAATAATTGCATTGCAAAAGCAACAAAAATAGCACAATTTGTTTCACTGAGTTATTATTACAGCATTCATAAAAAAATAATTCAGCATATTTAAAGAAGACACAAATCTTTAATTTTAAACTCGTCATCTAAAGCTATCTCTGAGAGACAAGATAAATGAGATAAATAAGTGATGGAATTGGAAAACAATAAGTGAAAAGAAAAGATCTGCTTACATTATTGAACATCCTCAGCAGCAACTTGAACTAAAGTAAAGGTGATTGTGAATTTTCTCAAAACATTTTAATATACTATTTGTTTCCTTCTTTTTCTGGTTGTCAAACATACATTTTGAAACAAAGTACACCAGTATTTGGATTGAAGAGTAGGAAAAGCTAAATCTTCAGCAACTGGGCTTAAAAAGAAAGAAACGAGTGCACACAGAGTAGTCAACATTTGCAATTTGAAAACACTGAAAATAAATTGATTTTTAAGCAGAATAAAGAAGAATCCTTTGAAAACAAATTCAGAAAACAAGGAAAAGAAATGACAAAATAAACATTTTTGGAATCAGATATTATAATTCTTGATGTTCTTGGTTTCTTTTAATTACTTGCTCAATTGACCATCAAAAGAAAACTTTAGTGAACTTCTAATGAGTAACATAATGTAAGCAGATTAACATGTCACTTATTGCTTTGAAAGATAACCAGTAATTTATAAAGTCAGCCTCTGGATATAAAGTTCAGATACACACTGCAAATTTGATGCCTTAGAGCCATCTTCACAAACATAAATATTGTGTTATACAAAATGATTTGGTCACGGAACATATATTTAATTTCCTTTAGGATTGTGATATTCCTATTGCAGTATGAAAAGTTGCTGCACTTGTAAATGCAGAACAAAAATTTGTTGAAACCGTTGATGATCAGCAGGAAAACTTATGAAATGAAATATATAATAGAAAGACAAAAGGAAAGAAAATAATACAGGATAGGAATGAAAACATACTAAAAAAATGAATGGGAAACAAAAGGGGAAATAGTAAAGGAAAAGGGCAACTATGAGGCTAATAAAAAAGAAAAGAATATTATAGAAAAAATAATATTTGCAGGTCTAAAGCTGAATGGATGGATGGGTGGGTGGGTGGATGAACAACAGATGGGCAGGTTACGAGATGATAAAAATAACTTATAAACTAAGGCGTTTAAAAACACCACCTCGTCTAACTCCTCCTCTCCCTCGACCACTGTAATCACTGCGGAAATGGGAGAATTGAAATCTCTCATTGCCACCAAATACTCCAGTGACTCCTCCAAATGTGACTCTCTTGTTAACAATAGTTGTGCCGTCTCCTAAGTCATCATTTGAATTGGGGCTGATAGAAGCCTGTCAACAAAAATTGCTCTTAATACAATACATCCAAGTAACTTTTCCATCAGTCAACATCTATTTTATGTGCTAACTAGTGATACTGCATTTGCACTAACTTCCTCACATTATTGGAACTTTCGCAATTTTTGAAAAATCAGAATTCAACAAAAATTCGACATGCAACATTTGTATACTTTATTCTATATGAAAAAAAATTAGAGCTGTTTTTGAGAAAATCTTATTTTTAATAAGACTTTTTTAGCACATAAAATTATGCAAAAACTACTCATACTTTGAAAACATTATTTTGACCTTCTTTTAAGATATCTTTTTGAAGAACAGATTTTATTAAAAAGTAAATATCTATTATCACTATTGTAATTGAAGCAGCATGCCCAAAATTGTTTTAACACCATTTTTATGAGCATACTTTGTTCTATTTGAAGAAAAAATATTCCAAGCAATTTTTTGAGAAAATTTTGAACATGTCACTTAAGCCTAATGTAAATCATCCCTAAAATCAAAATATCTGTTTCAAATTCTAGGGGCTAAGCCATCAGCCAGATGAAGAGGGGAATATTAATTTTTATTCTAAATTCTGCAATTTAGCCACTAGTATCTTTCACAGTCAAATGAACAGACATTTTGTTGGAAACCAATTGTTTGGTATGAAGGTCCAACAGAATGTGGATTCAGTGTGCAAAACATATTAGAGGAAGTTATTTACTACACATAGGTGCAAGAATAATCTATTTTTTTGAAACCAGACACCCAAAATCACTACCCAGAAGTAGCCTGCGACACGACAGGCGAAACACCGGCCTCTAAGTCAACGACACGGCGTCATCTGGACAGACAAAAAGTCACCCACAACTTGAGTTTTTTTGCTGAAAAATCATTGTTTTCCATTACAGAATTATAATATTTTCCTTTTACTACATAAGCAGTAAAGAGAAAGTAATATACTTAAACTTTTTTTTAACTTTCTCACATTCTATTACATAGTATAGAGGTAGTATTGTAACGCTGCGGCAAAAACTGTCATTGTTTTTTTTAGAGAAGAACTAATATTATGGGTACCTCATAATGAAAAAGTAGATAATTCTTGTTCCAATATGTAGTAAATAACTTCTATCATGTGTAATCATAATCCACGTTTTGTGGGTCCTGGATAAGCAAAACTGGTTGATAGCAATATGATTGACTGTCCAACTGTGGTTAATGCTACTGCCTAAACCGTTCAGATGACTTTCTCCAAAATCGATATTCCCCCACTGATCTGGCTAAACTCAAGACCCTATGAATTGTAAACAAATATTTTGATTTTGGAGCTGGGGACGGGAAAACCTTATCAACATTTTCTCATAAACATCCTTGGATATAGCATTAGACACTTAAAAATGGCAGTCTAATTGCCATTGAACTCTGAAAATGAGGAAATTGCGAAGGTTTGAATCTTAAAAGTCAAACGTTTGTATTTTCTTATTTTTACCACACACAAAACTATTGAGATTTTTTTTATCAAGAATGTTCTAGGATGAATTTAAAAAGCATATTCTCACGGGTTTTGAAACCTCTGGTTTCATGATTGGGCAAAGTTATTGTATTACATTTCAAAGTCCTGCACATTGATGTAAAAAAAATTAATATTCTCTCATGAACTAAAAACAAAGGTTTTAGAGGAAGAAAATATTAGAAAATGTGAAAACAACTCTATGAAACTTTTCCAGTTAAATAAAATGAAGAGGAAACTAAAGAATTAACTCAAAGAAAGGAAATACATGACAAAATCTTTCATGTTTACATTACTCACCTTTGTAACAGAAGCACAGCTTATTACATCAGAATTCAAAGCTCCAAATCCCAGCCTAGCTTTAATATTTGGTTTTACCTGCGGAACTCGTCGGGCTGAAATCCCAAAACACAAAAGAATATTTTCAATAATACTAAATATTCAACTAAATTCAAAAAAATAATTGCACTTGCTTATCTTAAGGGGATTATTACATATTTTTTTTCTTTAACATATATGTTGATCATTATATCTACATAACAATTATGCAACAGTCAAAAATTTGAGTTGGGTGTCAAGAGATGGAAACTCCACAATCTTAAAACTTATGAGAAAGGAAACTTAAAAAAATTACAAAAATCAAGCGGAAAGTAGAGATTCATACTATAAAGGCTGAAGAGAAAAATCAAACTGAACAGCCCTTTTGGAAACTTATTAAAAGCATGTTATCAACACTGACATAGGAGAGTCAAAGCTAAATGTTACAGGTGCATTTTATATTTTTTATGCAGTAGTAAGCACAAGTGGTTTAAATGATTTCTTATAAGTTCAGTTCAAAATATCAAAAGTTTTCAAGTAAAAGTGAGTTCAAAATTACTTGTTTAAAGAAACATTCAAACAATTTCTCAAAAGCTCCAAATTTACCCTTGATAATGTCTATAAGAAATAAGGGTTTGCTCTTCTTCATTTCTGAAGTGAGGATATTATCAAAGTCTAATTTCAATTAAATTATTAGGGGACCACTAAGATGAAAAAATGTATGTGTTCTTTTTTAAAACACGATTCCTTCAATAAAAATATTACAGGAAAGAAAGCTACCAGCCAATATTTTATTTTACCTCTTTTACTAGAAAGTTACTTTATTCTGAGAGAATGGTTCATTAATAAGGATGAGGCTGAAAGATTTTAAAGCTAAATAAATTTGTTGATATTGTTGCTACACCAACAAATGGGTTGATTGTCATGAAGACTACCTCATATCTACTGTCTGTGAGAAAATTTGTATTTATAATGCCACTGCTGGTAATATAACTCCAAGTTACATCCATGCACTCATTTTGTCAGAGTGTTTATTTGCAGTTAGCTCATTTGTAAATGGCTTCATCACTATCTCTTACAATGCCATCACCTTGCACGACGTTAATTTATTTCCAAACTGTCTAAGTGGTCACTTCTTAAAGTAATTCCTCTACAATAAAGGTTTGATATGCTCTTCAGAAATTTAATACAGGAATGTCTTGTACACATCTCTCTAAATGTATGAATGTAAAGTAATTTTATTCATATAAGGAAGAGGGTAGAAACATTGTACAAGGCAACAATTTCAAAAATCACAATTGTTACCTATTTATTAAACAGAAAGGTAAAGCTGGACATTTTTCATAAAAGAAATGACGGGACCAATTTTTGATGAAAGCCTTTTCTTTACATCCTCTTCCATTATCAACAACTGTGTGACTGTCATTGTCTTTTGAAAATTTCTTGATGAGAAAAACAGCTCAAAACATATGTTGAGCTGAACATATTCAATAAACAAGCAGCAGTGTCATGAATATTTGGAAACATTTTTTTACTGATTCCTCCCAATCGATCATTACTACTTCTAGCCCTGTCTCAAAACAAACAATCACTAACTAGAATGAGAAAGTCTATGCTATTTTGTAGTGCTACTAGGAGACAAACTGAATGGAAATGGAAAATGACTCCTCCCACAACAATTATCAATGTAAAAACAGAATTGATATGAAATTACAAAAGTGTGTTTATAGGCTGATAGGGAATAGACAGTAAATGCAATAAGTCTATGGGCCCCCTAAATAATATAATATATTGATTTATTAACAAAATATATTGGTTAAATGAAAAGTTTTAAGACTTATTTTTGTTTTCAGATTTAAAAGTCTTTTTAAGCTGTATATTATCATTTTTGTAAAATAGAATCCTTCAAAAGCAATACATTATTTAAAATGGGTGGCCGTTCGTTTCCGGAAACAAATTTCCCACACTTTTTCTGAATTTCACAGCATTTTAAATATTATTCACGGGTGAGATTTGTAGAGTATTTCACACAAATTAAAGAAAATATTAAAGCAAGGCAAAAACTAATTTGTCAGAGCTCTCATGTTGTTGTGACCAAATACAAATTTAAAAAACTCAACAAATATAAATTTAGAGAAAAACAATGCGGTACTTTTTAAAAATAATTATATCTAGTTTTATAAGTTTTAAGTGGAATGCTCAGAAATTTCATGGCTTTAAGTTCGAATTATAGGATGTTCTAATGCAGTGAGTACTGCCAATGTCATAAATAGTTAAAATCCCGGCAAAAACAAATTGGTTTTGCCATCTTTAGTGGCTAGTTTTGCTTATAATGCCAGTGATCCTTATAACACCACTGATATTAGAACACCAGGTAGCTCTGACAGTAAACAAGATCAAGTATTGTGAAAATATCTTATAGACCAATTTGTGGCAAGACATTATAATGAAAAACCATATACATTTCACAAACTATGATGAGCACAATGCCTGACATGGCTTCTGTCACACAATCGAATCACACAAAATAAATGACAATATTAAAATTAGTACTTTAGTTATTGGTATTACTTACCAAGGACTCCAGCAGAACTTGAAAGGGATGGACTTTTCATGGTACTAGAGGCACCTGCAACGACTGTTTGTGCAGTAAATCTTCTAAAACTTCCTCTATATGCTTCAACATCAGCTCGCATTGTAGAAGCTTCCTCTGGTGACACAAACTCATTTTAAGTAACATGCACACATATACAGGATTCCAAATTATGTGCACCAATTTTGACTCATTAATTTTCCTGTAAACACATGTTGAAAAACTTATTTTTAAGTCCTCCTTTCCTATGAACTAGACCACCAACTGCACTAGATACTAATAATATTGAAAATAAACTTTCATACATATTTTTTACCCATTCTAAAAATAAATACCTAAAAACTAAATGGGCAATTAGACAATAAAAAAGTTGTTAGAATGGAGAAAAGAATTCATATGTAGCAGATGCTCTTTGATCAAAAACAATACTAGTTGCCTCCTGTGAGCTGCATTGCAAACAAGCAAATCATGGATTACTGCACCCTTTCAAATAATGCACACTGTTACTTCATTACCAAATTTGTCACAGGCATTACATAGGCAAAATTATAATAATATTGTATATAGGCATTATTAAATCATTGATTCACTTGTCAAAAACTGGAAGAATACTCGAGTAATACCCACTGACGAAAATAGGCTGTAGGAGCCGAAGCAACTGAATTATTCATCCAAGTCTGAATGCAAATACCCAAAGACACACGTTATAATGCATTTACCGAGGTCAGTTAACATCCCTAAATTCTCTATGAATTTTTTCTACACACATATGTTTTTGAAATATTTGTATATTTTTTTTAGCAATGAATAACTCACCAAAGTTTGTGCACATATTTTGGAATTACCATTCAGAAAAGAAATGTATCTTACAAGTCATCTATTATCATATTAATAAATTGAATATCTGTCTGCAATTTCAAAGTAATTCTTTTTATATGCTCATTTGATTATTTACATGATATCAAAACCCACTGAATTGTTTTTAAATGTTTGCCTGCTTGTCTGGAATAATCTCTAGAATGGCTTTAACACATTCCAAGAGAGTTTCACTGAAAGGTGGCATAATTACATGGCGTATTTATTGGGCATAATCTAGGCTACTTTTTTCAGATTGCTATGTATTTTCTATTTTATAAAGAAAACTGTTTGTTTATTTTTTACTTCAAAGCTTTATTGTGATCTTCATTTGACATTCAAAATGAGAAAAGTGTTCACAAGAGTTTTTGTAATAACCCCAGCTGAGAATTGTTGTTGTCCATGATTAGCCTTTAAGGCAAACTACTTAGTTGCTTTTTACAATTTCATGTTGCAGGAGGAGGTAGAGACAAAGGAGAAGGGAAAAAAAGAGGAGGAGTTGACGAATTATGAGAAAAGGTCAAGAGAAAGCAAAGGAGATGAAGAAAGAAAAATGATCTTCTGACTTAGCCCAAAACTGTGTGTTCTGTACTTGTGTAATATATAATCTTTTCTGCATATTCTTATTTCCTGCCTAAAAAGCCTTGTACATGAGGATTTTGACTTATTTTTCACTTTTAGTACAGCGAGACTTTGCCATACTTTTCACTCTTGAAAAAAATTATCAAAAAACTTTAAAATATGGAATTATTTACAATTTATGTTATTAAAATTTAAGTGACTCTTCCAGGTTTTCATGAATATCTCAATAACGGTGAAGAAACATACTAAAGTGTATCTAACCATTCTGAAGTCCATAAAATTTCCTACTAATATGCTTCTAATAGCATAATTAGTCTCTGAGTAATTGAAGGTGAAAACTGAAAATTAGTTTTGATGGAGAGGGGCAGCTGGGGTGAATGAAGAAAGCAAAACATGGCAGGGATGGTGAGCAGACTAGGGAAGAGCCAGATGGAATGTGTATGGAAAGAGTGGAGCAGGGAGGGGAGTTTCGGGGTTATAGTAATAAAATTACTTCCATTTACATAATAGACAAAATTAATTCCTTTCCCTGCCTAATAAAGGACTGTAATAAATATATGCCCATGATATTTCAGGTTAGTGTTCGCATGAAACATCTGAGCACTACATGACTGTTAAAGCCCACGCAAATGCTCCCGTTTTAACTGTTGTTTCTTGCAGTCTCATGTGAACTCTACTTCATGTTGCAACTAAAAGGTTTTTAAAAATCTTTTATAAGATTTTTTCATTTATTTAAGACAATACATTCTTCATACATAAAAACTATTTACAAGGAGACTATATGCGAAGTTTATGGCCAAATGAAACATGCTTATAGGAGATGAAAGAATTTGTCAAATTAACGTACACGGTTTATGCTGCCGGTTAAGTGTCATTAAAGTTGTTCAAATTCATAACTCATGAGATAAAATATCCAGGTAATAATGTACCAATCTGGGTTTGCATATCTGCAAATTCTTACTTCTTTCTTCAATAAAAATATATTTCTAACTCTCACTAAAATGATGTTTTACACAGATCATTCTTTGACAGATTTCTTATAATTTTTGCTACCCTACATTCAATATAGTACAGCAATTTCTCTCTGGTCTGCAGGTATTTTCAACAGAAAATTTTAGGAAACATCCATCAAATAGGATCCTAATGCATTACACCTGGAAAAATAGTAGTAGTAGAAATATAGCGAGTTATATTACACCCCTCTTCATTACTTAATCCTCTCTTCACCATTGCCTCATCCACTTCCTCACCCCATGTATGTCTAGGTCTTCGTCTTTGTCGATGGGTACCTGGTTGCCATTTCCACAATATTTTCGGCAAACACTCTTCGTTTATTCTTTGCATGTGCCCATATCATTTTAGTCTTTTCACTTCTATGGTGTCAATTATATTAAAACACACCTCTGCTTTACGTTTAATTCCTTCGTTCTTAACTTTGTCCATTAAAGTCAGTCCGCAACTTCGATGCCAAAAATCCATTTCCATTGCCTTCAATTTCTTTTTGCCCCCCTTTTTTTTACTTCCCATACCTCAGACCTATAAAGGGCAATATTCTCTACAACAGTCTTATACAATCTTCTTTTTACACTCTTATTTAATTTATCTTTCCATATCAGTGGATGTAATTGTCTTATAGCCACTCTACTTCTTGCAATTCTGTTTATAATATCTTGCGTACTGCCTCCATTTGTGTTTATATCTGTACCGAGGTATATTAATTTTTGACATGATTTTACTTCCAAACCATCATCCAGTTTCAGACCTTTAGCACTTCCTCCTACAACCATATACTCAGTTTTGTTAAGACTTATTTCAAAACCCCATTCTCAGTACTCTTCATATCGTTTTCGGTATAGAGCATCGTCTTCATCTTCAGCAAACACCATCTGACCATATGCAAAAGTAGAGAGAATAACATAGCCACCAATTTTAATACCCTTATTACACCATTTCTTCCTCCATCTTCTCAGGGCTTCATTCAAATACATTTTAAACGAAGTCGGGGCTACACAGCACCCCTGTCGTAAACCTTTATTTACCGGAAATGGTGCTGAAATGTGTCTCCCTACTTTTATTTGGCTCATATTATCACTGTACAAATCTTGTACAGCTCTAATCAATTGCATATTTACCTTTTGTTTCTCCATCGCCATCCATAGCCTAGATAATGGAACAGTGTCGTAGGCCTTTCACACATCGATTAAAACCAGGTGCATCTCCAAGTTATGGGCGCGACGTTTGTCAGTTACCTGTCTAATACTGAACATGTAATAAATACATGAGCCACGCTGTGAAGCTCGAAAGCCACTCTGTTCCTTGACATCAATGAGGTCTCTTTCCAGTCGGGTTTTTAATATTTTTCCATACATTTGGCCAATGCTGCTCAGGACAATTACACCTCTATAATTTGCATACTGTTTTCTATCACTTTTTTTTGTAGATGTTAGAGATATATCCTTTCCTGAAGTTCCTTAGGTAATTCTTCCCCCATTAAACATCTATTGTACAGTCGAGTAAGAAAATCCAATAATAAACTGGGGCCATGCTTCAGCAATTCAAGGTTTACCAATAATGGACCGGCTGCTTTTCCATTTTCAAATCTCTGTATTGTTTTTCCAGTCTCTCTCACTGTAATATATTCCGTATCAGCCAGTTCTTCGAGCTCTATGTTGTATGTGTTACTAAATACAATCCCATTTTCTTTCAAAAGTTCTAGTTTATATATTTTAAATTGATATATATTTATAGGTTGTAGAACTGAATTTTGCTTTTCGTTTTGTCTGAGGTTCTTTATTCTTTTCCACAAGTTCTTTGATCTGGCATTGCCTATACTCTGTTCTACATCTTCACATACTCTTTCCTAAGCTTTATTTTTTGCTTTTCTTACTTCTTGTTTAACTTCTCTACTAATCTGACGATACCATTCTCTGCCTTCAATATCTTGAGTGCTTAACCATGTATTATAAGCAATTTTCTTGTCTCGCACTTTCCCTGCCAAATAATTATTCTACCATGAGTCACATATTCCTTTTCCACCAGTATGTTCTATTTCTCCGAGGCTCTCATAAGCTGCTTGACTTACGGCATCTACAATTCCATCGTAGAGTGTTTATGTAGTTGTTTGGTTCACTTCTAATAGTTTCTTACTCAACCTGAGCTTGTAGAGGAAGGATACAGATGGATCTTCAAGTAAACATTTTGTATTCTTTATTCTCTATGGTACTGGATTCATGAATTTCTGATTGCTGCTTATTTACATAAGGAAGATACACTCTTGATTTCAACAAAAAATGGTCTGAATTGAACTCGGCTCCTCTATAGACTAGAATATCTTCCACCTTTATTTTGTTGTTACGTTTTCCGAGAACGTAATCTATTATGGTTTTACTCATTCCTCTAGATTAAGTGAATTTGTGAATGTCTTTTTGTGTGAAAAAACCATTCCATACTTTTGAACTGTACTGGGCGCATAATTCTATAAGTCGTTCACCATTTCCATTTACCACTTCCTCTCTGTATCTTCCTACAACTTCGTCTTGTGCAAGTCTTCCAACTCTACTGTTAAAATAACTCCCCTAAAAATATATCCTTTCGGTTTGGTATCCCATCCAACTGTCATCAGCTGATTAAAAAACCTAGCATTCTCCAATGCGTTAACATTGTCATTTGGAGCATATATACACCTATCACTATCATTTCAATATATTTAATTTTAAAATCAATTTTTAAAATATTCTCATTCACACATGACCAAAGCTTAAGATTACGTTTATATTTCTTTAACACAGCAATGGAAATTCCTTTCTTAGCTCTAAATTCTTTCTTTCTGTTGAGACCCTGTACATTCCACATGCCTATACTCATATATCATTTTCGTTTGCCAAATCGTTTCCTGGACAATCTAGCTTCATTACTGGGATATTTCGCATTTGTGTTTTTTTAACAGATGTAGGGGGGGCTATGGGTGGGCTGGCCCTATGCGCTAACCTCAACCTGGAGGACCAGAGATTTATGTTCGAGGTTACTTTCCTCTCGCCTTCAGAATCTTGTCTACCCTTCCTCGTTAGGACAATGAAGAAAGCAAAGTGTGAGAGAAGATGAAAAAGAAGAGTTGAATACATGAGAAAAAAGGAAGAAAGGAACGTGAAAGACACCCTAGACCTCGCAACCTAACAGGGTGGAGGTTGACATACACAAGGGGCCAAGAGAGGCCTTATAGTAAAGACAAAAGTATTGTGGTACAAGTAGGTGGAAATAATACCACAATAGACAGAGATACCATCCTTACTAGTGACGCAGGTAGGGGAGGGGTAGGAAAATGATACAACAGAGCCTGGAAATGATAAAGGCTGAGGAACTTGGTTGACAGGACGTTGTGAGACAACCCTTAGTCTGACTCCTCTGTCGAGACCTTTACAGCATGGGTGACCCTACCGGCAGCAGTACTGACAAGTTTACCAACCTGCCAGCACCTTATACCCGTAATGCTTTCGACTTCATTGGAGTACGCAAACCTCCTCGCCCGCACGGACAGTGCTACTTTAAGGCGGTGTCTCATGGAGGAGGGCCTGCTCCGGGGGTCGTTGAGCCCCGGAGGATGGAAGCGTTCCAAGGCCGTTGGGAGGCGCGCAGATGCACCTGGATGTCCCTGAGGTTACACTTCTCAGGGGTCGGAAAGGGCGACGGTGAACAGCCGTCCCCCCTACCGCATCCAAGTGGTTTCATTTGTGCCGTCCCTTTAGGAACGCTGCAGTGGAGAGGGCATAACCTCGGTAGGCCCCCCAGGCAAGACGCAGCCCCCCGGGTAAACCGGGCACTGCTCACGTCTTGCCTCGCTTAGTCAGCCTGTGACTTTTGCGAAGCGGGGGACGGTGTTCCGAGGGTCGGGCCAGACGGCCCACTCAAAGCACATCGCTCAACATCACCGAGATCGCTCCGACACTGTCGGGGCGGACCAGCTCCACCCTTCTCTCCCATGGCAAAGCCGCGGAAGCGGCCAGATGTAGGCACGGGATCTGAGTCCTGGGAACGCCAGAGTACCGATAGATGATACAGGAGGGGAAGATTCTCCGCCTGGGCATCTATGGCGACGATCAGAAGATCTGAAGTCGTCGCAACCGGCACGGACCGCTCGGACTCCCTCCACCGATGGTGAAGGAAGGCTGGGCGGGTAAGCGTCCCGACGTCCTCCTGGATAGAAACAGGTAGGCCGCCGGTGATGGCAACCGGGGAGTAGAACGCCACTCCCAGATTAGCCGCCACAGGAGCGGTACTCCCCATGACGGGGAACCCCCAGACCTTGGCCTCGAGAAAGCGGAGTTCGAATTCCGCAGTCACTCCACGAAGCCCAAGTTGGCTGAGAAGAACGGACTTAACCGACTTCACAGTCACCTGGGTCCACGAGGAAGGGGCCAGGGTCACACCCCGGAACACCAAGATCACATGGTTCCAGGGGGAGGCCTGCACAACCGGTGGATCAACACCAGTCCACTCGACCAAGGAACGAGTTGCAAGAGCCTGTCGGCCCTTGCGACCCCGCTTCTTGGGAGCCATCCAAGAGTGTTCAGACCAACCGAACACGGGAGAGAATACACACAACGTGATAACAAGTAACGCCTTGCGTGAAAGGATATCGCTGAGACTGCCGCCCTTCAGATCAGGGGCGAGAGGGTAGATGTCTATGCGTGGTTCGAAGAGAGCCGCCGTAGCCGTCACCCCCTCCAGAGGAAAATGAGTTAATGCTATATCGAAAGAGAAATTTAATGCCTCAATTTTACTGAAAACTGAGATTTCTGTAGCCAAATTTTGCAAAAAAGCCTTCAAACAAACAATTTGACATTTAGTAAATTTATGGTGAAAAAGCTCCAACACCACGCGAACTGGTCGCGAAAAGGTTTCAAAGTACATGGCATTTCAAATGAGATGGGTGAGAGCCAGGACAATATATAATATGGAAGTACGTCTTGTACAAGAGCAAATTCGGTATTATACTGTCAGTAGCCCAGATATACCCTAACTTGCTTGCATGCCTGGCAATCCATCAAATAACAGACAGTCAACTATGAGAGGTACAAAAGGTTCATTAAGGTGATAGTGTATTATTGGGGGATAAAAATTCAACATACTTCTTGGCAGTGTTTTAATTATTTTCTCAGACGACTGCTTTAAAATACCAGCATACGGCAATGTCTTGTCAGAAAGAGGTTTGGTGCCAATGTGAACAACAGTATTATCATCATCATCATCATCGTCGTCATCATCATCATGCAAGTCATTCTTTGGTGTAGAAACAGTAGTTGATGATGGAACTTGTGATTTTTCCCCAAGCCGAGAGAAAACAGATGATGGCTACAAGAAGAAAAAAATATCATGACATTTAGAACAAAATATTATGGTTTTATTCAAACTAAGTGTAATTTTTCTCACCTTATCGCCAGAATTTTTAACAATGAGATTTTCAAGGCCTGTAATGGTTATGCGAGGACTTTCAGATTCTGTTGTACTTGTTACATCACCGTCATTTCCCAATCGATCAAACACAGTCTTCTTCGGAGGAGGCACTACATAATACACAAGGAGCTCAATGTTAACACATTATTTGAATAAATTATAACACAACAATCACACAAACATCAATAGTTAATGAAGTAAAAGACTTCTGAAAACACTTTGAATGATGCCACAATATACATAGAGAAAAGTTTATGAAATCTATGAATTGGTTCATAATTTCTCTACACATTGTCTTGAAACTTGGATACATTCCATTTCACTATTTCCTGGACAAGGGTCAACAGTTTCTACTTTCTATTGAGATTTTTGCTTATGCTTGATTTTTTTATTCCCGTTAGGAAGTATAGATCAAATCTTTTTCTTTACCGCCCCTTTAGACGGGCATTTATTATATAAAATGTAGTAACAAAAACCTTCTGTAACAATAACATAAAAATACTCCTTGAATAAGCTTTTATAATTTAAATACGATCTCAAACATACTAGCTAATGAACAACGAACATTTTGAACTGTACAATCCCCATACAAACTGCTAAAAACAATCTGTTAAGAATGTCCCAGAAGTAATAAAAAGGAATACAATTAATAATAAGTATACAAATTTGTTTAGACAGTAAAATGAAATAAATACATTGCAGTCAACTTCTAGAACTAATTTCTGTATACAGCTTCATTTCTGCTAATTTCTTTTTACTTCAAAAATAAACATACCAGTTTTCATTTTTGCCAAAATTTCTTTGGAACGAATGGTGGATCCAGATGGCATAGTAATTTTGTAGCGGCCTTCATGTTCAGGTAAAACTCTACGTATTTTCTTTTCTGTTGTTTCCAAGGCTGTTGAAGGTTTTGTTTTTAAGACTTTCTTTTTAACTCCAGTTGGTGTTATTGGTTGAATAGGTACTCCTGCAAAGATTTTGATTTTATATAAAAACTAAAATTAAAGAACAGGAACGCACATTGTTTAGAGAAAATAAAGGAAGATTAGGAAGGTGTAATTACTTGATTATCACAATTAATACAAGACTGATTTGGAACTAGTTAGCTGAGAGAAATTATAACCCTACTTTAATACCCAAGATAAATGTCATGATATTATTTTGCTGAATATTTTAATTTTCCATGAAGTCAAAAAATGTGAGAAAATAAAATATTGATATCTTGACATCTGTCTTTTTTTTATTGCTTTGGTCTACTTGTTACCTCCTATTATCTCCTGTAATGATCAAAAGCCAACATTGCTCTTTTAAGGCTGATATTTCTTCGACAGACAGTTAACATCAACTGACTAAACTTAATATAAAAGAATTTTTGCAAAATAATAATTTTAGATAGCTCATCACTTTTTCTCTGACAAAAAGAATCTACTGCAGGTGAAACTGATTATTTTGAATTTACAACATGAAGGAGGAGAGACATCAATAGAGCAATTGGTGTTTAAGATTTTACAGCAAAGTGACGAAGCATATCCAGAATGTGAAAAGTACCAATCTTCTCACAAAGTGCATTTACGAATTAGAAGGTAAAACCAATGCTTTTCCAGGTCTGTGGTCTCTACCATTGGCCATTTGTGGAAGAAGGAATATTAAATTGTGAGGGAGGTGTGCTGCGTTTACGAGATAAATTTATAAGTGTAGGTTTTTCACTGAAAATAAACATCAGGCAAAGATCAGAAGCTTTCACACTTTTGAAATAATGCACCTCTCACACAAAACAAAGTTTATTGTACACATGATTTTATTTCTTAAAAGACAATTCTATTAATTTTCTAAATTATTATAGCATTTTTTAATTGATTAAAAATTTCTCTTAAATTCATGTACTAAATATTTAGAAGAACATAGGAGAAAGCCGTATTAGTAAAATGAAATCCTTAAATGGCGTAGTGATACATCGCAACAAAGTAGCATGAAGTATTTGTGCCTGTACATTGACAAAAGAATATTTAGTGAATTCAAAATATGCAATGGTTAATTAAGTTCAAAAATGATGAAAATTGTTCACATATTTCCTACAAGCATATAGCATTCATTTAGGAATAGATGTTCCAGTGTGAAAACATCTGATGTAGATGATATTAATAAAAAAAATATCCTTGCATGAAGATGAGGATTTTGAGAACTTAGTATCTGGAATATGTAGAAAATATAGAAATGAGAGGAAGTACACACTCTAGAGAGAAACTTCCAAAAATTGTTAATAAAACTGGCACACTACAAACCAACAATTATTATTACTTCAAAGCTAATTAATCATCTTGTAATTTTAAAACCAATATGTTTAATATGTAAAATTAATATTTTGATATAGAAAAATACCAAGTCTATTTTAATCAAATCAATTTGATAAAGAAAATGATACACAATTTTGGCGTTATTGGATAGAGAGGAGGCCATTTTGTGAAATGAAAATTAGTCTGCAATGATTCACTATGAGTGGTATTGACTGCCAAACAAGACCCTGATCAATTTATTAAGAAAGAGTTCTTCTACACTCTACAATCAAATTACGCTCTTTTACAGAATACGTTCATTATCTAATTAATGTAAGTATGTAAATGTAAAAACAAAAGGCAGTTTTCAATAGTCAAATTGCCGATGAACACTGATTGAGGGTTCCCCCAAGCAATACTTTGATATCTGGCTTTCACATCCAAATACTTTGCTTGTATTACAATAATGCATTAATTAATGAAATTTAGCCTTGAAATTTCCAACATACTCCCCCCCCCCCCCCCCAAGTTGGAATTGTTCCGCTACATTTGACTTACATTTTCTGGAAAATTTTGGGCACCAAATGTTTAACTTTAGATTTTACTCTAGTTGGTATAACACATCCCTTAAGTGCTAACATATTTTACTGAGTTATAGGCCACACAGATTTTACAAATCCTGTGATTTTTTCATGTTATTTGTGGATTATTCAATGCTCTTATTAAATTTACTTCTTATATACTAATAATACAAATTCATCAAAAATACATATGTATATTTGAGTCAAAATGTTCATAATTTAATATTTTTAACACTAAAATTAAATGTTTTAAGCGGAGATGTTACAGGAATGGTAGAAGTAGCATTAAATTCAGTTTCATATATTTGTTTTAAATTATTTTTTGTAAATCAATATTATAAATTTGGTCATTGCACATAACTAGTCACCACAGATATTAATCACAATTTCTTCCCACATTCATTGTACAACTCCAAACAATTCAGTTTTGGACCAACAGCAGACTTTGGTGCGATACTTATAGGCTTGTTCTCCTTTGACATATTCAACTAAACTAAATAAAAAACTCACATAAACATAACCTTGGTTTATTTGTAAGAGAATGAAATAATATTTGAAACGCACGAGAAAACATAATCTTCTGAAAAAGAACATCCTAAGTTTACAGTAATACAGGACTTAGAGGCCTTTTGGCAAATTTACAACAAAGAATAACAAAAATTACAGAACAATGTTATCACATCAAAAAGAGACTCTCAAATGATGCATAACTTGGCGATCAAAGTAGCAACATAACCAGTGTAGTCCAATTAACACAAGAAAATAGCGGCAGGTTCAAAAAGATTGGCGTTACCATTTAAAGGATATAGTTACAAATTTGCAACTAAAACTTCATAGCCTCAGAGGTTCTAGTTCTCTGAGTCCGCATGGTGGCAGATATTTTATTCCCGTAAATGGGTTAAAAATCTGTCACTGAGAATTCTAGAAGCAGCTGGTCTTATCAGTTGTTACTGTGGTTTCCTCTGATGAATTTGGGGGAGATGCCACACCAAAATGCTTTAAACAATGAGCCGCATTCTGCATTTGAACTTTCCCTCTCTGCTTATTCTCACTGACACCATTGGCATTGAGCTGATTTCCTGTTCCAAAAGCTATTAAAAGGCTTTGGCAGTTCAGTAAATATGAGGATGTTAGGACAAAATGCAAACAAGGCTGTAGAGGCATAGGAAAGAAGATAAAAATGTGTTTTATACTTATTTTTGTTGTGCCACCTTAGCTTTTGCTGATATTGGCAACAAGTTGGGTATATAAGGGTAAAAAATTGTTTCCCCAAAAAATCTCAGAACTGAAAATTGTATTAATCTTTTTAATCAAAACCATGCACAGGAAAGATGTTATTGAAAAATATTACGAGAAGGATTGTCAATGGCACACACCCATGTTAAACTTAATACAAAAAATCATACCCAATGGTTTTTTAGGTGACTTATCAACTTTTTCACAAATTTGTGCAACTTGAACAGAAGATAGTGTACAACTAGGTTTCCTTATATAGTGTTCCAAAATTCTGGAAGCAGCTGTAACATGAGTAATATCTTTTTAATGATTTTTTGCTGAATGATTGACAATGCTGAAACAATGACAATGAAATTCTGAAATTTCAGATATTAATGTTGTTTAAAGTCCTTAACACTAAGAAAACTAAATTTTCTATCTTAAAATATATCTTACTCTACAATACAAAATGTGTGTATAATGTTCTTTCCCCAATCAAGAAAAAAGAATCTACTCAATAAAAGAACAAACACATCACATAAGCCTTCTGTGATCCCAGTTTTCTGGAGAGGAATGAAGAGAGCTATATTCAGCGAATCACAACTTCTCAAATTGGCACTTGCCAATTAGTTGTTGGAATTAGGAGGAAACAATGCACATTTTCATTAGATGTGTTCACTTTCATTTTTTTCTAGACAGTGCTTCATTTCACCTTAATGATTTTATAGTGATACAGTCACAATTCTGTATTCTTTTGAACTCAAAATTACTTATTTAATCCAAAATGCCTTACCTTTAGTAAACGTTCCCTACCTAGTTTGAATGCCTCAAAAGCACACAATATCTATTTGGGATACAATTTGTGTAAAATGAAGCACACTGTAAACAACAACTCACCTCATCTAGTATGGTACAATAGCAATAAGACTGACGCAGCTGAATGACATGATACAAAGAAGTTTTAATATATGTAACAAATAGATCTAGCAATATTTCTTTTCATTTCCACAACTTCAGCCCAAAATGCTGATAACTGGAGAGAGCAGAAAGCCTTTCACCAATGACAGTATATTTACAAATGACTGGGTAACACTATTCTGTGAATCAACATGCAATACGTATAATTAATTTTTCTGAAGTAAATTTAAAAACTATTTTAAGAAAATACTAAGTAACTTCATACTTACGAGCTACTTTCTTTATGCTACCACTTGAGGATGTTCCTGGCACCTTTGTTTCAGCTGGTGTGTTTTTTTCATTTCTCTGAGCTGATCCAACGTTAACCACTCGAGTATGAGTATCACCAAGAATCTTTTCACGAGCTGTCTGAAAATAAAAATTGTAGAAAATAATGTAGAGATTTCCAATTTAGTTATTTTACCTCTAGAAAAGCTAAATTTACTTCAGTAGGTACTAATTTCCTCAAATTATTCAAATTCTAAACTAATCCTTCTATTTAAGTATCTGTTTAATTTAGATAAGACAAAATAAGTTTTCTCAAAAAAACTTAAAAAATGAGGAAGTTATAAATATTTTGTACCTTTTATTTCATTGAATAATATGTGTGCTTCAAAAATGACTGAACATGACAAATATACGAAGGAGTATGACAATAAAAAAAATTAATACAGCCAAGAAAACAAAATTCTATGACACTTTTTTAAGAATGACAAAACATTGGACACATTTTTCTTTCATTTTCAGAATTAGAAAATAATTTAATTTAGTTAATTCTTGAATTCTATAAACATTACTCATTATTTGGTCAAAACGAAACTAAAACTAATATTCTCCTTCACCCCTCCTCCATTTGTTCAGTTTGTAACCTACAAGTATGTTACATAAGAGATGGAATCAATCAATCTATTTTAATACTAGTTATTCTAAAAATATTTCTTAAGAGGGATAAACAACTTGCATCAAAGTTTATATATATTCATGATTGTGTATGTAAAGGAAATGGAAGTCTTTTCAGAAACACTGTTCTAACAGAAATTCAACAACTGAAATCCAAATATGTCTTGATCACTCAAAAGATGGTTTTGTTTGAATTAACAAAGAAAAATAGAAAGAAGTTAAAAAAAGGGTTTCCTCCAATTTTATATAAAAGAATTGAAGAGATACAAAGCCCACAAAGGCCATTACTATGATATTAGAAACTATTTAAAAAAATTTCACAAAATTCATTAAAATTGTTTTACTTTCTTAAACTAAGAATTGCATATTTTAAAGAAAAACATGGGGAGCGTAATTTAAAGAACAAAGTGTAGTTTATAAAATGAAAAGTTTCCGAGGCAACTCTTTAGTGCAGAAATTTTGTGTAATTATTAAAGGGCTCCCGATGCTTTTATTTAAAATTTGTGATATATAATTAATATTTTAAGGAAGTGAACTCAGTGAACTTTATGGAAAATGTTTTAATAGTTTCTAATACTATGTTAATGAATTTTGCGGACAACTGTTTTCCATTTTTGTGAACTTGAATTTTTATTTTTGAGTTTTGAATATATTTTTTAATTATGTCATTTTAATTTGAAGAAAAGCATTTTTTTAATATTTTTTTTTATTTTATACCTTTTAGTACATAACTTTATAAGAACAAGTATCACTTCGGTTAAGAATTACAATAAATATAGTAGGACATCACTCATGTTAGTACAATTTGCGATATTAATCCAGTTGCTTAAACTTAAGGATACGCTTGTGAAGGTACAGGACATTATTTTATAGATTGCTTATGGAGACGCCCTATGTGAAAAATATTTTTTTAACAAACATTAACACTAATATTACGGAAAGGAAAAAAAAAGTTTATCTCATGCTCAGTTGTTCAAACTCAACAGACACAAGAAATTATGCTTCAGGAGATAATACCAGTACATAGGTAAGGGTTATGATCACCACATTTAAAGGGTCCATACTCATTGGAAAGATTTGATCATGACAAGATAAGGTTCCAATAAGTGACCAGTCAAGTTAATAATTAAGTTATTAATTTTGATTTTGAACAATTTCATGGAAAATTGTTCAAAATCAAAATCAATACTCATTGTCATCAGAACTACATCTCTGTGCAAAATTTCAAGATATTATTATTAGCTAGATGAAAGTTTTTTTGGTGTCACAAAATACATTTAAATGGCATCACTGAAGTATTACGAAAAACAGGTAACTTACATTGTAGCTGCTTTCATTTCTAACAATAAAGTAAACTGAATAGAATAGTGATATCATTTAAATGCATTTAACACAATCACTAGTTCAAGTCCATTTAACTTTTTTTTGGATTTGCTGATTGATTATTTTGAAATCCTTAATATTGCATTCTCATATGTTCACACTATATTTTGCTTATGCTTTGTTGTCTTCATCACATTACCATTGTGACTGTACTAATATTCTTTTTTATATTTGAATCTGGACATGTTGCCCATGAATTCATTGAATAAAACAGTGTGAAAACTATAATGTGTACTATTTTAGCTAGTATATAAATTAGTAATATTCTTCAATAATATAAAAAAAGAAGTATATGCTTCCACATATTAATATACGATTATAAAGTAAGAGTATTATAATTTTACCATAAATTTTAACTGAATGTTAAATCTTATCATAAATAATGAGAAAATTAACTCAGGAATATTAAATACACTCAATAATGACCAATGTCTTAATTTTTGATCAATCAATTTTAATAATTATTAACAGAAATAATAATTCTTAAATAATAGTATATATCTATACTTTATTGTTTTAATAAATTAAAGATCAAGAAGGTCATTAAAAAAATTAATAGAAATTTTATTTACATTAAAAGACTTTATACTTTTCCACTCACTTATCATATTATTATCACTATTTTATTTGTCCTTAAAAGTTTTCATTCACCAATAAAAAATGCACTAGCACAATAACAAAGAAATTTTGTACACTGTATAAGTCAAATAAAATGTCGAATTCTGAGAGAAAAACTGGTGACTGTTATACCTGATCATTAAGAATTACAAATCAAGATCATATCTGACAAATTGAATTCACATTAACACTGAACTTCTAAATACATTCATGAACAGAGCCACCTTAAGATTACAGTCAATCAGTGTTTCATATATTAATAGATTTTCATGGAAAGGATGAGATTTTCAATTTCATATAAACAATATCCTTTGTTGTTAAAACCAAATAGTAAATTAAAACTTGGTCATTAGCGAATGACGAAAATCAAAGGAAATTGTCTCAATAATAAAAACACTCACTTCTTCATGAACCATTTTAGCATGCCTTAAAATTGCAATGATGTCTCCCATAACAGTTATGCCCATGTCCCTCAGATACTCCTTGTTTAGATCAAGAAGCATATCCATTTGTATTCGGTTATTCCAAAATGTTAGGGCATAAGTAGCAGCAATGTTAGCAGGTAGTCCAGCATCCTTGAAAAAACTTATCCACGTATCTGAAATTGGTACGAACAATTACTGTTTACAGAGGGAATTGAACCAATGTTAACCAATAATACATCAACGACAATGTTCATTTACACATATTTTTGACATTGCACACTATTAATGTAATATGATATACTAACTTGTTGATGCCACAGCCATGTTTGAAATGTACACTTCAATTAGTTCTTCAAAATTGAACTTCCATATGTAGTAATCACAATTATATATTACTCTGCCCTTTTACGAAGACAACGTTAACAACTGTAAACAACACCCTACCATATCAATTACACGAACACGACCATGGAACAAACAAAATACATACGAAATAAACGAACTTCGTTCATAGTACAACTTCTTTCCGCTAGGTTCGCACTTTGAAATAAAATCTCAAGCTTGAAGATCGAGAATCACTGAATTTCGATGAAACGTTAGTCTTTTAGGTAATATTCCACAGAACAGTTAAATTTTAGAGATAAAACCTACAATGGCAAACATGGATTATTGTGACTTTTTGACAAAGTATTTAAAGAAATTTTTCGCGGATACCAGCTCCAACATCATTTGTAGAAATAATTATTTTTACTGTAAAAGTAATACATAATTATAATAATAAAGACCGGGAGAAGAACGAACTTGCCCCTAGTATCAAGAGAAAAATTGAAAATCTATAAGAGAAAACGATGATTTTTACACAGGTCATTAAAAAAATTGAGACTTGATCTGGCCGGCTTCAGTATCCATTTATTCAGTCAGACAGAATATTTAGGAATATTCATGCATATTCAGACCAGTTTAGCTTACAAATCCATGAATGTCTCAACAACGGTAACATGACTCCTTCCGAACGTCATGTATTATTCTAGAACAGGGATTCCCAACCTTCTTTCATCGACTCCTTTTAATTGGTATAAGGTTATGGATAGTAAAATGGATAAAATAAGCAGTGCGCTTTGCATTATTCTTTGCCGATATCCGTACGCGGGGGTCCCTAATAACGGCACTGTTTTGGGCGGGGAAGTGGCGATAGTCTTCCCTCATTGTATGGCGAGATCCGGCGCCGACCTACCGTCGGCTTCCGGGGGTTTCCCCATAGAATACGTATTTATGGCTGCTCTGATCAGCTGGTGCATTACTGCATGGTAATGAGTGTGTAATCCCATCTGCAGTACGTGAGCATGGAATACTATGCAACTTCCGATTGTGTCATTCAACCCATTTTTTACACAGTGAGTGGCCAATGTCTCAACTCGTGGGTTGCAACATTTTGGCTCGTGAATCTTTGGATACAGCGCTTGTCACATTCCGCGAGATAACATCTTTTCGATGTGTTGATTGCTGAAGTAGTAGCAATCATCAACCGACTGTACTGTCATTGTGAATCATTTGCATTTGCAGAGGCAATCGAGTACCACACGAATTTTAATGCAATTATTTCATTTGACATTTGTTTTAATACAACAATAATAGCAATAATTTGATTGCTTGTAAGTTGACTGTTGTCAGGTACAACTGAATTAATCTTAAAATAATATTCTAAATATAACACAATAAAGAACAATTCAGGAAGAACTCCAAGACTGGCTGATTAATGACGTAATCTTTGGACTTCTCATTTCCTCCTTTCAGAGACGGTTTCAAGGCGAGGAATGTCCTCCTCACACATTTTCTTCTTTTGAATGTTGAATTTACTAAATACAATTCTTTCTGTGATGTAAGGGGGAATATATATATATATATATATATATATATATATATATATATATATATATATATATATATATTTTAGTTCATGGCTAACGGGAATTGTCTTTGTTTGAGAAGGAATTCTCAGCATGTCCTCCTCTCGTATAGTAATGGTCCCTAGGGCACAGCGCTTCTGCGGAAGGAAGGGAAAACGGTTTTTAATCAAGATCTACAGCTTTATCTACAACGTCAGAGATTTTTACGAAAATGAGAACTGCGCCATTCTCCTAAATCTGCTTTACGCTATACGAGGTTCAAAATTTAATAAAAAAATTGCTGCCAGTGTTTGAAAATTTTGAAAATGTCTCAAGGGACATTCCAAAATTAAAATATCGGTTTCAAATTCAAGGAGCCACACCATCAGTCAGATCAATTGGCGAATATATATTTTGGTGAAAATCCTACTTACGGTTTAGACGCTAGGGATGTTCACAGAAAGGCAGATGATTTGCATCAATCGATTTTTACTTTCCCGTTTCCAAACGTATATACGAAGTAATATACGTAGTATTGGGAAAGTTATGTATTTCTGCGCAAACAATCGGCAAAAACGTCATTGCGGAGTAATTGCCGGGTAATGAAAGCCATTGCCCTGTGAAAAAGTGGATAAATTCAGTTGCTAAATTAAGAAAAAAGTCCTCTAACAGTTGATGTAACCAGAATCAATGTTTCGTGGGTCATTGATACCGCAAAAACCAATTGACGAAAAACGTCCGTCCGTCTGTCCGTCAGTCTGTGAACACCAGTAGCGCCTATAGCGTACGTACGATTTTTTTCAAGATGGATATTTCCCGGTTGATGTTCTATGGACGCGCCGCGATTTTGATAACATTTCTTCAAAATTTGGGGATACTTTACATGAAGCCCCTCGGACGATCTCCAAATTTTTATCAAAATCGACTCAACATTTTTTCTTTAACTTCTTAGTAAGAATTGAGTACAACACACTTATCAAAGTTGCATAGGTCCGATTTTCACGGTTAACTCTAAATTTTTTAAAAAATGCAAAAGTTTGAATTTTTTATGGTATCTTCCTACAACTATAATATTGAAGATATTTTTCCTACAGATAAAATTGATTTTTATCTGTTTTTAGTAGTTTTCGCACAATATTGCAAGCAATATGTGAATTTTAAAAAAATACAAAAACTAGATTTTCTCAAAATCGGCTCCAAATTTTTCCTTTAAACGTTTGGTAGAGATAGTACTAAATGCACTCTATACGACGACATTAACGCCATATTACTTTATTCTTTTTTTCAAAAATTACACAAATGTAATTAAAAATATCTCTCACGCCTTTAATATGCACATTTCCAGCGATTTGTAAACTTTATATACAGTTTTTCGGAAACTCTAGTTTTCTGTGAAAAGAGGTTCAAACTTCGCATTTACAGTAGCGCTTAAACACCGTTTTCTTAAAACAGCTCCAAATTTTTCAAAAAAAAAAAAAAAAAAAAAAAAAAAAAAAAAAAAAAAAAAAATTGCCATTGAGGGTGAGGTTTTACTGTTTTTTAATATTTTTAAAACAATATTTCCATTCTACTATTATGAAATAGAAAAATTTAGAAATTTTAAAAAAAATGTACTTTGGACGGCGATAGATGACAGCTGGTGTGTATATGGCAACTGGCGAGTACATGGCAAGTCCGAATAGCTTGCCGAGACCAAAAGGGAATAGAAAACTAATATGAGAAAGTCTGTGCCATTTTGTAGCACTACTTGTTCGTTACCAAGGACTCTCAAGAATGGATTCTGATTACACAACGTGTTAGAGGAGGTAATTTATTATATACAGCAATAAGATTTATTCACTCTCACGTTATCAGGGTCCGGCAATAAGTGTTTTTCTGTCGAAATTCCGCCGTCTCCACCCCCTCAGTATTACAATGCTTTATTCAATTCTGCGTAAGCAATAGAGGGAAAAAATCGGTAAATTTCAAAAAGAGTGTGAGGGCATATCTCAAAGAATACTTTATTGTCTCTCATTTAAAACCAGAAGCAGAAAACCGAGACGAAGATTTACAGAGATAATGAAGTCTACATTACGTTATCATCCGCCATTTTTAATTGCGTCTCAAAATAAGTCTGACTGCATTGGGTGGCCCCCAGCACTTTTACTTGATAATTATGGATCAAAAGAGAAACTGCGACCAAAAGGTTTTACCTAATCGTGCGTCACTACAACTTGCACTATATCCATTTCAGAAGGAGATTTTTGAAATCCTTTGTGTCATAATCTTCAAAATTTACCAGTTATTCGGTGTCCTGAAAGCATTTTAAATTTTCATTAATTTCAAGCAGAAAATTATCGAAAATACAGTGTTACAGAAAATACAGGAAATGCGACTAGCGCCGATTTTTTGAGTGCTTTGACAAGGGAAAAAAAAGAAACGAAATTGGAGATTTTTTTGAGAAAATAAGTGTTTAAAATTGAATACTTTTTAGGCAAAATTACGCAAAAACGGCTCAAAATTAGGAAAAATTATAATTTTGATAAATTTTATTTATCCTTTTTAAAATTTATAATTTAAAATTTAAAATCATGACCATATTGCAAGACCTGTCTTTGAAGAACAGATTGCATTAAGAAAAATCTTCCATATTGTAGTCGTAGGAAGACGCCCCAAAAAATGTTGGACTTCGAAATTTTCCAGAATTAAGAATTCCAACGAAAATGAGACCGTCGCCATTCTTTTAAGCGCCTATCCGAGGTCAAAGTTCAATAAAAAACATTGGAGTAACTTTAAGAAAATTTTGGACTTTTAAGTGAAGCTTACAGTAAAATGTCTCCCAAAAATTATAAAATCACACACTCAGGGGCTCGATTTCCTTTAAATCGATTGGAGAATATTAATTTTGAAGCAAAACGTTTGAAAGGTACAGGCGGTAGTGTTGGCGGACACACAGACAGAAGTTTTGCAACCGATCTATTTTTCCATAACAAAGATCTACAAAGCTTGAATTCTGACTACACAATGTGTTAAAGGAAGTAATTTACTGTATATAAGAACAAGATTTTTCCCCTTTTCGTAATCAGGGCCTGGCAACAAAAGTGTTTCTGAAGAAAATTCCCTGATATCTGAGGCACAATAACAATACTTTCTTTTAACGAAATCTGTTCTTTAAAAATATATTTTTAAAAGGTCATATACAATTTTTCGAAAAAAATATATAAAGATTCTTGAAGACAACACATCTGTCGACCCACTGGTAAAAGAGATGTCGGAAGATCTAAGGTAGCAATAATAGTGATGATATTAATAATGATGTAAAGGAAGAAAGAAAGAATGAAGACGGAACAGGCACGTGTGCCTTCTCTTCGAAGTGAAGAAGACAAATTTTGCAAAGTATGAGCTGTTTTCGTGTACTTTTGTCCAAAATATAGACAATTTAAAAATATTTAAACAATTTTTTCTCAAGTTTTTTTCTTTAACGTTTCTTCTTATACATATCAAGGGGCGGTAAAAAATGGTGTTAGTCCCATAGGCAAACTCCCTGCATTCTTTAAAATTGCAAAAAGTTGAAATTAGATGTTTTTTGCGTCTGTTGTAAAAAATCAGCTCTTTAAAAACGG